GGGGGGGGGGGGGGGTGAGAGAGAACCTACCTTTACTCCCTGGTGGTCCAGTGGGCTCCCTGGTGGTCCGGTGGCCATTGCTTCCGTTCTGGAGCTCCGCAGAGCTGCAGACCATGTATTCTCACGAGACCAACAGAGCGTTGCCGTGGTAACCTGCGGCAATGCTCTGATTGGCCAGTTCTCGCGAGACACATGGTCTGCATCTCTGCTCACTGTGGAGCTGCAGACCGGTGTCTGTGGTGGCTGGCCGGGCAGCCAGGAGGGGCCCCGCACCCGGCGGCATACCAGGCAAGCCGCCGGGCCCCCTCCTGGGTTCAGGTCACAGTCTCCCACAGGTGGTTAAGGTGGCCGCGAGGCCTTAGGCGGCCGCCTAATTAGAGAGCCGCCTCTGCCAATCACGTAAATGGGGTGAATGTTTTCTACTTCGCTCCACAAAGCTAATGGAAGGGACAAGCACGCTGGTCTAGAGTGAGTCTGCCTCCCCTCCTTCTCAGTGAGCTGTACTACATATAACTCATTGAAAAACACACAAAGCCTCGATATCATATGCACTTGCAGCTCCAGCAAAGAGCCTTCTCTCTGACTAGTAAAATTCCTAGGCCAGACAAAGTCTGTGCCAAAAAGAGGGGAGCGGCTTGCAAATGCTGCAGGTCTGTAGCTTTTGGAAGCTATTTTTTCATATGCTCCTATGGAATTATGCATAATACGAAAATACATGTATGGGTGGGGGAAGAGTATAGAATAGGTATTATTTTTATTTATTATTCTAATCAGTTAAGTGTTAACTATTCTTCCTTAGTACAGGGGGAAAGGGTGCGTCTTGTCAGTGGTGTTCTCATGCATTACAAATGTGTAAGGACAGGGCAATTTTTTCCCCAGCCACTTATATAAACAAATAGAACAAAAATAGTTGAGCGAATAATGGGCATCTAGACAAAACGTGTGCTACGGTCTTATTATAGACACCCAAAGTGTTTATACAGAAACAGTCATTAATAGCCACTTAACATTTGGAACGGCTGCAAAAGGCCTAAAATCGTATATACAGCTTCTTCTAAGGAAGGCGGCTAACGGATACACATATGGAGTATGTTGATTGAACTCCTTTATAGCACCGGAGCCCTTCCAGCAGCCGGCAAAAAGAAATGCCAAACAATGTAAACATAAAGAAGTGCCACATTTAGGCCACAGACAAATAGAAATAGACAAGTAAATTTGTAATTAGGAATATGTATTTTAACACGCAGAGTGCATACAGTTTTATATGAAGACACAGAAATGTGGTGGATGGTGTTCTATGCTTCTTCCCCAACATAACACGAGCCCTGATACCGCCATCGCAGGCCTATACAGAGGCAAAGGGACCCTGGAAACTCTAGGTTTACTTCTATGTCCACGCTACGATTAATATATTTTTTGTTTAAACAAATTCCTTAAATATAACTTTTGCAGTTTTAGAAATAGAATTACTTTTGAAATCCAAAATATTGACACCTTAAATTACAATAGATGTCTTTCAGTAGCATTACCTACTATCAAAGATTGTACCATACCATGCCAAAATGCTTAGAATTTCACTTAAGCATGTGAATAAGAAGACAATAAAAGGAAGGAAATAGAAGCAGATAAAGCATGGCAGAGAGTGGATGGGCTGTGGATCCAAGGGAAGCATGATCCATTACAAACGCAGCCGAATACGATATTTGGTGTCCAAGGTGACCAGGTCTTGTGGAGGACAAGTCATGTTTAATGGTAAAACTTCCTTATAAACTGTAGTAATGCATGCTCAGACACATTAGTAACTTGAGTTTTTAAGTAGGTTTGGACTATTATTGCTCCTTAAGAAAGAAGTAAAATAATCAGCAGGGCATTATTCCTTTGTCTGATTTTACAGAGGAAGCACACTTCCTGCATATGGGAAAACATATTGACGTTGGCAATGTATTAAACAAAAACATAGGAACTCTGCTAAGACACGAAGCAGAAGATTACTACTTTACCTGCCTGTAATAATAATTCCATAAAAGGTTTCTTTTTTATTTAGGTTATTTTATGTTTTTGCTTTTTGTCAAACAGTTCAATGCAATAAATAACAAGGGAGTAGCAGGGTATTACCAAACGGTAGTGGTAGAAAAACAATATGTGGTCGTACATCATCCTCTCCTAAGCTATTGTTATATTTCTTATAAAAAGGGAAAATGATAGGCCCCAACAAATTTATTTTTTTGTTAAAATGAAAGAGTTTGCATTAATTGTCAGCATGGCCAGCTTTAACAAAGCACAAATATAGTTGCCTATAGCCCAGACACCTCTCAGAGGCCTAGCCCGAACCACCAAACTTGAGAGGAAATCGATTTTCTCCCAAAGATAACCTGGGGGGGGGTCACCATTATAATGGACATGGTGGCCAGGAACAACCTATAGTGTATCACTACTCTGCTGCCTCATGTTTAAAAACGGTTTTGAAATATAGTTCTGAGCTGCTGGTCAGTGGTGTGTTTTGCAACAGTTATCAACCGTAAGCACGTATAGTTTTCAAAATACAATCCAGGCCTCACTAATATTTCAGCTGATGTTGACATTCACGTACGGAATCACAAGGACATCGTAAGCTTTTTTCTCGTTTAGTGGGGTATGAGGCCTATAAAGTGCAGCTGCCTGACATTAAATCTAGACTGAAGGATCGGGGAGAACAATGGAATATGCATACCTCCCAACATTTCAAATGGACGAAGAGGAACACTAATTTTAGTGTTGTGAGTGGGTATGTGGCCAGGGACAGTGATGTACTGAGAAATTGTTTGGTTTAATAATAATAAAAAAAGTCCCTTAAAAAATAATTTAGAAAAAAACAACAATGTATCATATTAACACAGACTGATTTCTAAACACATGTATTTGTAGTTTAAAATACATTACTGGGAGTATTCTTGCTGTGGAACTCTGATATTCAATCACCAATATGGAGCTTCTAAAAATAATAAGGACACTATGATAGAAAAGAGGGTCATTAGGGTAGAAAAGAGGGACCAAGGTATTTGAGCCCAAAATAGGGACTGTCCCTCCTAAATTGGGAAACTTGGGAGGGTGCATATAGTTTCCTTACTGCAGGGGTTCTCAACCCAGTCCTCAGGACCCCCTACCAGTCCAGGATTTGGGGATTACCTGGGTGTGTCTCAGGTGTTTAGAAAAAGGGAAAAAAACACCTTAGACTCTGGGTCCTGAGGACTAACGTTGAGAACCCCTGCCTTACTAGAACCTCTCAACAAAATTATTACCCCAAGTTAGAATGACTTGCAGGGCATGTGGAAAACAGAAAAATTGAGGGAAAACTAAAAGATTTGCATAAATAATT